ATAATTAAATTTTAATTATAAAAAAATATTTTTGCTGCTGTTGTCTCTCTTTGAAGAGAGCTGTTGCAAACCTGCTTCCATATCACTGCAGACTCTTTAAAAAATATTGCAACTCCAGTTTCACACACCTCGTGTTTTGACAACTCAGAGTAATTGATTATTTTGTTGTTCTCTCTTTATATTAACCATGCAATGAATGAGGATAAAAACCCTGAAATATAGGAAATACTGTGTGTATATATATATATATGTATATATATATATATATTATAAATCTTGTCTAACTCAGTTGATAATCACGATAAATCTAAATAACTGGATAATGCTAATTAATTATTTAAAACTAGAGAGAACTTGACACAGTGAAAACATTGTTAACAAGCTGTTTGCAGTGTGTTGTGCAGTTTGATCATGTTTAATTAAATGTGTTGTCTGCAATCAGAAAAAAAAAAAGTGTTTAACCAACTTTGTCTTTTTTTGAAACATGTCAGTTAGAAACAGAGGCAAGTTTAAGGCAAGTTCCAGAATATTAGCGCTATGAATATTAAGTATTTTACCGACATCAATTTTTAAATATTTCTAATTGCCAATGAAAATCGACGTTGGTGAGCTAACTCTATTAAGTAACTATGTTTTGATGTGTATTTTTTATTGGAATATTTAAAACCACATTTTAAAAATCCACTATATAAAACATTAATCAATGTGGGCTGATTATTACTTATTATTTTGCTGCTTGACTGCCCTCCATCACCTCTTTATGTCTTCCTCTCCCTTCGCCTCCTCCTCCTCCTCCTGCTCCTCTCTGCTTCCTTCTCTTCAATTGAGTTTGCTGTGCAGAATATAATTAGTCTGCCTACACACACACACACACACACACACACACACACACACACACACACACACAGGAGACTTTAAACTTTAAAACCCCTTAATACAATGGTCCAGTCACACAATAGACACATGCCAATACTATGACCCCCTCAGCTTTCACCCAATGCACAAAAAAGTCCCTGTTCATCTTCATGGCTACCCCCACACTCCCACCTCCTCACCCCTCTCCACATCAGCCTTGCTCACTCAGCAGAATAATGAGACTGATACGATTACATTTCTCCTCACATATCACATTTCACAGCATATCGCAGATATAATGAAGAGCTTAACAGGTGCTGAATCCTGGCACGTTATGGCCGAGATGTGAAATCGGGCCAGCGGTCGGCATTAAACCCACAATCCATTCAGTGTATTAAGTTTCGAGTAATAAAATTAATATGGCGGGGGTCGTGATCAAAGGTGGAGCCATGGGATGAACCGCTGAAAGGCAGAACGCAGATATGTTTAACAATACTTAAAAAGAACAGAAACGTAGAAATGCAAGAATAATATCAGATACTCAATGGTAATTGTTTTCAGTCTTAGTGTTAATCCACAAATCCTGAGAAACTCAGCCCCTGGATGGCAATAGAACCCTAAAAGGACTCAGTGGGATTATAATTGCTCACTAAAATCCAAATCCAGAGCCTATTTCTTTCTGCCGTCGTCTTTCATCGACTCCATTCAGACTCGTTGCTGACCTGTAGCTTGTCACCGAGCCTCTTTTGATCTCAACCTTTTCTCTGTGAATGCGACTGCACACACCAGTCCTTTGCTCACTCGGCACCCACGACTCAATGTCCCCAGGCTCATCACAGGAACCTGTCTGCCTTAAAAATGTATACATCAGTTGCAAATGGGGAGCTTTTGTTCAGGAGAAGGAAGACAAACCCTGGAGGGGACCGCCAAAAACTGGGTGTCACCCACCCCTGGCTCCATCATTGAGTGAAAGAACCCCAACCCCCAGCTTTTTTTTTACCATCCCCCCTTAACCCCCCTCCCCCCACGCACACACACATATACACACATACACCTCCTACTTCAGGCGTATCATATCACCTAACCCTTAGGGTGCAGTGGTGTTCAAAGCTGGATGTTCTCATGATAACAGGTGTACCTAAGAGAGAACGCACAGCAGGTGGAGAAGTGTTTAGAATTATGCTGTGACGACTGGACTCTGCTGCTCATATTGACTTTATATTTTGACAGTTTTTGGAAAAAAGACACTGCACTGTAATATCCGCTGGAATTGAGACCGGTCTCCTAACTTTATTTAGCGTAGCTCACAGTCATTTCCAAAAGACAAGCTAACTCTGTATAAGAATGCAATGTGCGAAATTTCAACAGTGACTGGTTTATTAATGATCCTGGAGTTATTTTCCTCTCAGGGGTAACCAATGTTTAGTCACCACAGCGGTGAGAAGTGATCATGGCATTGTAGTAATACATGCCTAATTATTTTACCATTAATTCCTTAACAGTAGTTAGACTATGGGGGCTAGAGTAGTGCAATGGTAGGACCCCCGCCTACCACCAGGAGGTTTCAAATCCCTGGTTGGAGGCGTCAGGTGGGGTGACGGTTGAAAAACTCACTGTGCGGACCACTGCTGTGGTGACCGTTGATTTAAAAAAAAGGGAGTATCTGAAAATGAGTCTTCAAAGTGGGGAGCCGCCAGGTGGCGCTAAGGGGCACCAAAGTAAATTGGAGAGAAGATAAGAAAATAAATGCAATTTCTTAATCCAGATCACTTTATGGGAGTTCACTTTGCTACATTTTGTTTTGTCATTTTCTTTAATTAAATGTCTCTGAACCCAGGGTTTTGTATTGTTGTTTACGTTTGAATAGTGTTTTATGAATGAACCTCCCTTTGCCTCGGCTCCTCTGACCCACGACGTGGTGAACAGAGGAATCTGATAGACGAGGAAAAAGCAGGAGAGACAAAACGGGGTCTGTGTTCTGATGGAGTGGCACCTGAATGGAGGTTGTTTCTTTCTGCACTGAACTGTGTCGTGCTGCGTAGGAGTGGAGACGGGTGAGGAACCCAAGTAGGAACCTGCTGAATAAGTAGAGAGTTCACGCAGTATAGTGTAGAATGGCCTGACACATTCATGCATGCAGGCATGTGCATGGGTGCACAAACTTTTACTCTCTATGCCACACACATATGGAAACTAAATTCATTCATTCAGATCGGCCCAGCTTAAGGAGCGGGGCCCTATCTGCACATGTATGCAGACTAATCAGGGCCTCTTCACAGGCCGAAAGCACAGGGTCACTTAGGGTGAGATGTTTGTGATGGAAATTTGAACGGCAGGCGTAGGAAAACAAAGCCATAGACAAGACGTCCCAGAGACGACTTTACACATGAGATAACACACAGAGAGGAGTATTGAAAAAAAAAACATTAATATTGAATGACAAAGCCTTTCTAATCCACTCCCCTCAATTGCTTTAACACCTGAGCTCATAAAAGAATATTTTAATAATATTTTCTATTTTCAGTCTGAGGAGTCGATGTTCACACCCACAACATAGTCTAGAAAAGTTGAGACAGAGGCAGCTCTCTCGTAACACAAGACTTTTCTGTAAACTCCTGCTGCAGATTAAGAGGTGTTGTTGTTTATTAAATTTCCATTTGTGCTACTTAAACCTGGGGTTCTAAACCTTTTTGACGTTGAGGTCCAATTTGTGAGGTCCATCTGCCTGTCTCCCTTTACTCTTGCCCAGTCGTTCAGGTCTTGTGTTATTGCTATCCTGAGATCCTGTTTGTTTCTGCCTGGTCTTGAGAATCCACTAAGTTGACGTATTTAAGTTTTGTACTGTAAAAAAAAAATCCTGAAACTGGTCCCTTTCTCTCGAGCCTGCACATGGTGCCACCTGCTACCTGATACCAATGCCAAACGTACCACAATTTTCATAGTACAAATGAGCTGTGACCCATTAAATTTGACATTTAAACTTGGGATTGTACCAATGCAAAAATTTAGTCTTTTGGGGCGTGGTCCACGTGGTGTTCATCTTCATTTTTTCGTTCTTCTTCATTTTGCTACAACATAGAGAAGCATAGAGAAGAAGACAGCTTCTCATGGGCAATATATGTCTAATGTCTTTAGTTGATAACCTATGCAGTCAGGCGACCCTTATGGACCACAGGTGCAAAACTGAAATTTTTTTGCAGCCTTCAAGGTGGTGCCTTGTGGCTCAAGTTCCAGCCACTGCCCTCTGGTTAAGAATCACTGGTTTAAAAAACACTTTCTCCTCCTACTGTGTATAATGTGAAGGAAAAAATTCATCACATCATTTTTTCATTCCATCACTGCTGGAGCCCAGAGGACACTTAGCATTAACCGAGCGTATAGTGCATAGATGAGGGGCATCGGATGGAACTGCCGCACCTCACTGAGAAATCTCACAAAGATGGGATTTAATGGTTCTTCGATTGAGCGATTCTGAAAAGCTCACCTCTGACCTGGCAGCCTTGACCCCTGGCAACCCCGCCCATCCTCCAGAGTCCAGTGCTTGTCACTGGCCATTTGTCAAACAGTGATCTGATTACCGTCCAATTTGGTTTCTGCCGACTAAATACTTCTTGGATCAGGGCAGTGGCTGCCTTCAGCAACTTTACATGACAACAAATAGCTGGATTGTTGTGGGGAAGGAATTTAGTCTACTCAGTGAAGAACTAAGACATGCGGTGTCATAGTAAGCATCTGATTTCAAAACATTTGAAGACAAACATATGAATGTGGGCATTCTGTGTTCATAATTAATATTATTTTTATTTATTATTTATTTATTTATTTATTATTTTATTTATTATTATATTTATTTATTATTTTTTATTTTTATTATTATTAATATATTATTAATTTATTATCTTAGTCCTAAACCTTGCATAAATGAGATAGTAGCAGCTGAATGTACTGTTTTATACTCACAAATACTGTATATATGTCATTGTTCAGTTGCTAAAGATAACTGTACAACCTGAACATATAAAATCTACACCAAAATCTGTGCATGTGGCACCTAAAAGACTATTTCTATTTTGCTACTACTGTAGTCTCGTACTGTACTACTCATGTAAAGTACTGCGTTTTGTTTTCTTCTATTCCTATGTTATTCTAGTACATACCACTGATCTGATTCTCATTATTATTATTAGTGGGTAGGAATGTAAGAATGAATGTGTACAGAGGTACATTCAGAGCTGAAAACTTGACCACCTAATCATGGGACATAGACGATGGACAGCCTTAAAACCTTGCGATAAAAATGAGAGGAACCTCACATTAATGTGTAACTTTAATGGTTCAGATTTCAACTTTAACAGAGTTATGACAATGGTCAGAAGACACAAACCATCAATAACTTGCTGCTAAAAGGGGAGATGATGATGAGATGAAGGGTAATGATTTCATTCACATTATGTCCCAGGTTGTGTCCTCAGTCCATCATCCTAAAACAAACCTATGTCAGTTTCAGCCTAAACACACACACACACACACACAATTAGCTCATTGCTCATTATGTCTGCTATTCCTTGTGCTGCAGGAGGCACTGGGGTCAGTGTGGGGGGTTGGGATGACCCTGGAGGGCATGTCCTGAGGGGATGTTGGGGGAGTGAGGACGGGGGATGGTGTATCGGCATCCGGGGGGGAAAGTAACTTCTTGGTTCCCCTGCTGGTTGACTTGTGCCCTGTGAAAATCCTTATTGATCTGTATGAAGTATAAAATACACACACTTATCAGTCATGAATGGCAAACTGCAAGAGCTCCACCACAACAGTAGCTTTGGAAATGAGTTTCATGTAATTCTTTCATCAATATTATATATACAGTATATGTATGTGTGTGAGTATGTGAGTATATATATATATATATAATATATTTATATAATATATATATACATATATATATATATTTATATATATATATGATGGAGGAGGCAGACGTTCCCCTCCGGAATAAGGAATGACTTGGGAATACAAAAGTTTTCATTTCCCTCCAAAACCTAAATTGTTACCCTTCCCTCTCCCCAAACTTCCACAGGCGACTCAGCAGTCACATCCACCCCCAGCCGTCATACATCAATCGATAGTGGCACTGCTGTGTGTCAAGGGAGGGTGGGGGTGAGTCTCAAGCAGTCAGAGTGCCATGAACCCCCCAGGGTGTGAAAGATTTCTACACTACCACTGCAAGTTTAAAAAACAAACAGTGATTTTGGTTTGCTCGAGCTTTTTGTGCCAAATGAAGAGATTGACAAAAACTATGAGAACATTGTATCATCTGCATACAGTTGAAAGAAAGTGTTGTGATTGTGCAGCTATTAGATTTTTATTTTAAATTATTAACATCATCATTAGTCATTCAGGGAGTAACTGTTTAGTGAATTTAAAGGTGGGAATTATGATTGGCACCCGATTTGTGTGTGCAGTTTCCTACGGTGGCTCAGTGAGTGATGGTTAACTACTGGAGTGTGTAAATGCAGGTAGGCGTTTGGGCCCTATTTTAAGTCCACTTCATTAAAACAGTTAAAACAGAAGAACTATTCTTCCACCACTTTTTTGCACGTTTCATTCAGAGCCTCTCCAACAAACTGAAGTAAATCCCTGAGCCTTTGGCCCTTCTTAAAAAATTTGCAAACCCACCAAACGAACGGCCACCAATGTGGATAAATACCGCTTTTGTTTTATCCGTTTGAACCTGAGGTTTTCCTAAACACTGAGGGGAGCGTGTCCACCCTTTTTACACTTTTCAGGGTCCTTGGCGCTGAATAGCGGAGACCACTGCCAAATGGGAAAATGACTACACAGGCAGAAAGAAAGAGCAGAATCAATCAGGAAGTGGCAGCTTTTTAGCAGTGCCAGCGGAGCCGGGCAACTTCCTGGTCTGGTTGCCAAGGCGATTGGAACTTCAGCCAGCTGGTGCAGCAGGCAGCAATTGGGTTTGATGGAGGGATAACAGAGGATGACGGTTGGGTTGTTGAACGGGAGGAGTGGGCGGACATGTGGTTAAAGGAGAAGTGCAGTTTAAATGTAAGCAACAGGTTTATTAAACCACGACCATGCCTAGAAAATGTGAAACAATGTTTCATGGTAAAGTAAGAACTTATTATATACAGTGCTGTGCAAAGGGTTAAGGCAAGAGAAATGAAGTATGTGTTATGTGCCTTTTTATTTGAATGTGTAATTTAAAGGTAATTAACCAGAAGCACATTCTCAGCAGTGTTAAACATCTTCCTGCCATTTTGGAGTTAAAAAATATAATTCTGCCCCAAGAGGATGTCAGGGGTCAGGCAGCCTACCTGTAGTCTGGAAAGAAGATGGATAGGAATTAATGTGACAGAGTTAGGTTGAGTGTTTTCTTACATTTGCTTTCAATGCCCAAAAAAGAAAACCAAAAGAGGGGGTTACACTGCAAATATATGCATCAGCTTTAAACTTTTGCACGGTACTATATTTAATATTAAAGACATTTTGTGGCATAGAAAATAATTGCACATGGGGTCCTAAAAGATAAAAATAAGACATTTTATAATTTTTATAAGAAATAAAAAAATAATATATTAATAATAAATTCAAATTTGGGCAATGGCCAATATTTTTGGTTTTGTTGACAAGTAATCCTAAAATTAATCCCAGAATTCAATTTGTGGAAAGTACACCAACTAGGGTAAAAAAGTCAGTCAGTTGAGTATGAGCAGAATTCTTTTGAAGCTATCTTCTGAACACAAGTTTTTTTTGGTGTTTTGGTGTTATGTTTAGCATATTCTGAGAATATTACTTACATTAACATGAAGTCCGGCCCGTGGAGTGTTTAGAGTGCTGTGATTGATATTACCCAGTGTGTTGTTGGGATGGGATGAAAGTCTGCTACATCTTCTTCAGAACTCTTCCTCAAGACTAGTCCAAGTATAAGCAGCCGTACATCTTCAGAGCTGTGACAGGGTTGTCATTGTACTTTTAGATCAGATTAATTTTCAGATCATTAAGCTCATACACAGATGAACTCAGATGCAGCAAGTTCTGTAGGCAACTTTCTGGGCCTAAGTCATATTATGTATCAGCATAATGAAATAAGAGTACAACCTCAGTAAACCCAGAGCAGTTACACTTTAGATTGTGTACATGTGATAGTAATAGTTTACACAAATATACATTTGTAAGAAACACAATAATGTAAGTCTGACTTATTGAAGAATTTGGACTGGGGGCTTGTAGCTGGTGTAGAGGGGATCAGAGGGAGATAGGTAAACACAGCTGGGGACACACAGCACTGGTAGGTCTGCAGCTCAGTGGCCCCCTTCCATTCATTTATTGGGGTGTTTACTCTGGGGATGTACCCTAATCTTTACATGCTGATCTCTGAATGAATCCTTCACAGAGAACCGCCAGACCAGGATTAAAGTGACCACCGTTCACTGTTGCAGGCCCTGCTAAATCCTCTGTAGCTGAATTTGAATGTTATTACTGAAGGCCTCAGGGATCATCTATGGCTGTGCTGGATTTCTCTATGGGTGGGATGGACTTGTTGATATGTGCTAAATATTAGTATTGTAATCTGATGTTTTCTGGGAACCTTCCCTTCAGCTGCTACGTGTGTGGTTCCCATTTGGCTGCAAACTGGATACCAGCTTGTCAGGAATAAAATATATACATAATGCTTAAAAAGTTTCGAGCAGCTGTAGGAAAGTATTATCTGTATATACAGTATATCTGAATTAATGTTGTACCTTGTGGCTTGACTTCAGTCAACGTTCGGCCTTATACTTTGATGAAAGGGCGCCCTCTGTTGGCTGCCTTTAGCTGTTGTGCGGTGCTGCAACTAAGCTGTAAGATATGGCCAGAGAAAGGAAGGGGTGATCGATTAAACTATTGTATGTTGCTTTATGCTACGTTGTGTTACCACTGTTACCACCTACTTTGAGAGTAAGTTAGAAACGCTTGTTATTTTTTCATATTTAAAAATCGCAGTTAAATGTGCAGTTTGTCAAAAAAGACAAAAATAATTGTAACCGTAACCAACAGCGATATTACAACAAATACATTATTACATATTGACGATCTTTGGTTTCATTTGAAAGGTAACCTTTGCCAATCACGTGGCGTATTATACTATCGTTTAATGGGTATTACTGTAACTTTGCTACAAAATCGAATTGATAAAAAAATGACCCATTCGGTCGGCTTCCGTATGCGTCGCCTAAAACTGTGACGTCAGCATAACAACAACCTGTCATGACAGAGGAAAAATATTCGGTTGCTTTTTCACATTTAGATATTATTAACTAGAATTCACGTGTATGTCGGAGCTCCTTTATAATGTAAGTACTTAGACGGGCAGTTGATATTATATATTGCATGTATTAACGACAAGCCCCAAATGTATTAATTTTTTTGTCGGTTTAGCTGTGGCAGCTTACACAGCATCAGCTACTTTGTGTTTCTGCTTTTGTGTAAACGTCGATGTAAAATGAACAGAAACCACGATAGGCACAGTAAATAGCATAGCCAGTTGTTGCGTGAATACTTTTGTAACCATAGAGCAGGAGAAATGTTTTTCAAAATGAAGAACTTTACCAATGATTTATCGAAAGGAAAGCTACATAGGCTAGCTGGGCTAACTGGCTAATATCAGTCCACCGAGCCCTCGTTTGATGAAATGAAAATAAGGGATGATTGCGTCTATATTTACTGTTGAGATTCGACGTTTGTAGACGGAATAGAAATAGTTCTGACAAATCCGTACGCGTAACGTCACAGGAAAGAAGTCTGTAGCGTTTGTGTACATGTATATTTGAAAGCTTGCCCACAACAGAGGACTCTGGTATGTTGTAGCCGGCTGTCGAAACATGTACAGTGAATGTATACCCCATTAATAGTTACATGTAAAGAAGTCTGGTCACAATACTGTATTTTACTGTCAGCGAAATAATCGGATGGTGATTATTATGCTGACAACGACAAATGAAATTCGCATATTGCAGGTGCGTTGCAGCAAATGTACGTCTGTCTGTGAATGTTAGTCCCACAGTGTATGGACTTTTTGTGTCTGTCTGATCTAGTGAGTGACATCCAGGAGGGACGGGGCATTCTCCGACCTGTCAGATTAGCCAGCCGAAGAGACGGGGAACAGGATAGGGAAGCAGGGCGAGGCGGGCCCCGCGGAGCCGGCGGAGAAAATGGCCGGCAGCCCGGAGAAGAGTTCAACCGCACAGGAGCTGAAGGAGCAAGGGAACCGACTGTTTCTGTGTCGCAAGTATCAAGAGGCTGCTACATGCTACAGCAAAGCTATAGTGAGTAATTGATACTGTAGATCGAATGACAGATATTTAAGACAAACTATATCACCAGATATGTGGATACTCATTAAAGCGCCTGTAGAAACGCAGATGTATTATTTATGCGTGCGTTTTTATTCATTCCATTTATGTTGAGTAATTGTGAAATGAAAAACCACAACAAACCCCACCGCCCACCCAAATATGAAATGCTGGTTACTGGTGTAACAGTGGTTCTATGACTGAGTGGAAGACCACCAAGGGCGGTGCTGAAAGCACTTATGGAAATATCTGTGTATCGAGAATCACATAAAAAATTGTCACCTCGTGACGTATGACATGACTGTCTAAGTAAGGCAACACCTCTTGGATTGGAGGCTCGCTGCTGAGGGCAATGGGGAAACCTCTGAGTAGGTCTTGGGGCCATGTGCCTGGGGCATGAGGCAACAGGGTTGGGTGGAGCTCTGAAGATAGGTGCTACATCCACTTGGCGGGAACGAGACTCCGAGGGCCTCTTGCGCTGCCGGTCCAAAAACTGGCCAGTGGCATCTTCCCCCCGGCCCCCGACAGGGGCGCGGGGGAGGGGCACCCAAAATT